GACGTGATTTTAAAAATTAACCGGGTTAAATGTGGGAATGAACCGGGTAAAGTAGGAAGTAACCTGGTCATGTAGGAAGTCCCCCGGGGTATGTGGGAAGTAAACCCGGGGTTATGTAGGAAGTGAACCCGGTCTTTGTAAAAAGGGGAACCCGCATGTGGGGAAGTAAAACCCCTTGGTCATGTGGGAAGTAAAACCCGGTCATGTAGGAATGAACCCGGTCTGGGGAAAATGAACCGGGTTAAATGTGGGAAGTGAACCTGGTCATGAAAGGAAAAGTAAACCCCGGTAAAGTGGGAAGAAAAACCGGGTTTATGTGGGAAGTGAACCGGGTTTTATGTAGGAAGGGGAACCTGGTCTGTGGAAATTAAAACCCGGGGCCCATGTGGGAAGTGAAACCCGGCCCATGTAGGAATAAACCCCGGTCATTGGGAAAGTGAAACCGGGGTCATGTAGGAAGTGAACCGGGCCCATGTAAAAGTGAACCTGGCTTGGGAAAAGTGAACCGGGTTTCATGTGGGAAGTGAACCGGGGTTAAAGTGGAAGGGTGAACCTGGTTATGTAGGAAGTAACCGGGTTAGTAGGAATGAACCTGGTTATGTAGGAAGTGAACCTGGTTGTAGGAAGTAAACCCTTTTTGGTTTATTTTGGAAGTAACCGGGGTTATGTAGGAATTAAAACCTGGTTATGAGAAGTAAAAAAACCCGGGTCATGAAAGGAAGGGTGAACCTGGTCATGTGGGAAGTGAACCGGGTCATTTTAGGAAGTAAAAACCGGGTTTCATGTAGGAAGTGAACCCGGTCAGGGAGGAAGTAAAACCGGGTTTTTAAGGGTTGGAAGTAAACCGGGTTTATGTGGGGAATTTAAACCTGGTCATGTGGGTAAGTAAACCCCGGGTTTCATGTAGGAAGTGAACCTGGTCATGTGGGAAGTAAACCCCTTTTTCTTTGTGGGAAGTAAAACCGGGTTTAAATTGGGGAAATGAACCTGGAAAATGTAGGAAGTGAACCTGGCCCCTTGGGAAGTAAAACCTTTATGTGGGGAATGAACCTGGCCCTGTAGGAATTGCCCCGGGTTTAGTGGGGAATGAACCGGGTCATGTAGGTTTTTAAACCCTGGTCATGTGGGAAGTAAACCCCGGGTCATTGGGAAAAGTAACCTGGCCCATTTTGGGAAGTGAACTCGGTCTTTGTAGGAAAGTGAACCTGGTAAATGTAGGAAGTTGAACCTTCATGTGGGAAGTGAACTTGGTCATGTGGGAAAGAACCCATCATGTGGGAAAACCCGGGGCATGTAGGAATAAACCCGGGTCATGTGGGAAGTAAACCGGGTCAGGGTGGGAAGTGAACCCGGTCATTTTGGGGGAAGTGAACCTGGTCATGTAGGAAGTAAACCCTGGTCATGTAGGAATTTAACCCGGGGTCATAAAAGGAAAATAACCTGGTCATGAAAGGAAAGGGAAAACCGGGTCATGTGGGAAGTGAACCGGGGCATGTAGGAATTAAACCTGGTCGGGTAGGAAGTGAACCCGGTTAGGTGGGAAAGTAAACCCTGGCCCATGTGGGAAGTAAACCGGTAAATGTAGGAATTTGAACCCGGTCAGTGGAAAGGGAAAACCCGGTCTTGTGGGGAATGAACCTGGTCATGTAGGGGGGAACCTGGTCATGTAGGAAGTAAAACCCGGTAAATGTGGGAATTGAACCCGGTCATGTAAAAAAGTGAACCCTGGTCATTGGAAAAGGTAAAAAAAACCTGGTCATGTAGGAAGGGAACCCGGTAAATTGGGAAGTAAACCCTGGCCCAGAGGAAGTGAACCTGGTCATGTGGGGGAAAGGGGCCCCCCGGTCATGTAGGAAGTGAACCTGGTCATGTGGGAATTAAAACCTGGTCTTTTGGAAAGGGAAAACCCGGGCCCTGGGGAAAGTGAACCTGGTCATGTGGGGAAGTGAAACCCCGGTCAGTGAAGGGGGCCCATCAGTAGGAAGTGAACCTGGTCATGTAGGAAGTAAACCTGGTCATGTAGGAAGTAAAACCTGGTCATGGGGAAAGTAAAACCCGGTCAAGGAAGGAAGTGAACCTGGTCATGTGGGAATTAAACCCGGGCCCATGTAGAAAGGGGAACCCCAGTCTTGTGGGAAAGTAAACCCGGTTCTTCAGGAATTAAACCCCGGGGTCACAGGGAAAGGAACCCGCCCACATAGGTAATTATACAGCCTATCAGAGGAAAAATTTCAGGGGACTTGGTAAAATTTTTTGGGAGGCCTTTTCCTTTTGGAGTTATACCATCCTGGGCTGGGGGCTCTTGTTAAAGCCTTTTTTAATTCAGTGTTAACTTTTTTGCCGGGGGCAAACTTTTTCCCGGGTTCCTAATTTTATGCCCATTTAAAAAACTTTTAATTTTCCAAAAAGGGCCGGCACGGACTGTTTTCCCCATCGTCAGAGGGAAAAATTTTAAAACACAAAAAAAGGCACAACAGTTGACGAAAAAACACAACCAGCCCCATGGGGAAGAAGAAAAATGGGGAGAGGGGAGGAGAGAGAGAGAGAGGGGGAAAAGAGAAAAGGGGGAAAACAGAAGAGGAAAGAGGGGCCCTACTTAGCCATTCACAAGTCAAAAGACAGAAGGGGAATGAGTGAACTATTTAATATGGGCCCGAGGGGGACGGGAGGGTGGGGACAGAGGAAAAAACAAATTTATTTGTAGTGGAAAATGTGGTATTTTAAAAGGCCCCTTCGGGCTCTGCTAGCTGCGGCTGCGGCTGCGGCTGCTACTGCTCTGCGCTGCTAGTTTGCTACTGCTGCTGCTGCTCCCTAGTGCTATGCTGCTGCTGGTGCTCCCCTGCGGTGCTGCTGTGCGCTGCTAGCTGCTGCTCGGGTTAGCTGCTGCTAGTGCTGCTGCTGCGCTGCTAGCTGCGTGCTGCTGCTGCGCTGCTGCGGGCTGCTGCTGCTGTGCTACCCTGCTGCTGTTTTGCTGCTAGCTGTGCCTGCTAGTGCGCTGCTTGTGCAGCTGCTGCTGCTGCGCGCTTTGCTGCTGCTGCTAGCGCTGCTGCGCTGCTGCAGCTGTGCTCCTTGCTCCCAGCTGCGCTGTCTGTAGCTCCCTCCCTCCCTTGCTGTAGCGGGCCTGTTTGCTGCAAAGCTGCTGCTCCCTTGTGCAAGCTGGCTGCTGTTTGCTGCTGCTGCGGCTGCGGCTGCGCTCTGCTGCTGCTGCTCGGCTGCTGCTCTGCTGCGGGCTGCTGCTGTGCTGCGCTAGCTGCTGTTTAGCTCTGCTGCTGCTAGTTGCTGCTGCAAGCTGCTGCTGCAAGCGGTTGCTGTTTTATTTTCCCTTGCATCTGCTGCTGTGCTGTTACTGCTCCCGCTGCTATTTTGCTGCTTTTCTTGCTGGCGGGCTGGGCTAGCTCTGCGTAGCTGCTGCTGCTGCTGTGCTGCTACCCTGCTGCTGCAAGCGGGCTCCCTGCTGTGCTGCTGTTGTTTGCTGCTGTCTAGCTGCTGCTGCTAAGCTATTGTTGCTGTTTCTGCTAGTGTTTTTGCTGCTGCTAGCTGCTGCTGCTGCTAGCTGTTTGCGCGCTGCTACTGTGCAAAGTGCTGCTGCTACCGGGGCGCTGCTAGCTGCTGCTGTTGTGCTAGCTGCTGCTGTTTGCTACTGGGGGCTGCTGCAGCTGCTGCTGCAACCCGGGGCTGCTAGCTGCTCCTGCTCCCGCTGCTAGCACTGCTGTGCTGCGGGAGCTCTGCTGCTAGCTCTGCTGCCCCTGCTGCTGTGCTGCGGGTTGCTGCTGCCTGCTGTTTGCTGCTGCTGCTGTTTGGCTAGCGCTTCGCTGCTGCAAAGCTGCGCTGCTGCTATTTGCGGTGCTACCCGGGCTGCTGCTGTGCGCGGTGCTGCTGCTGCTAGCTGCTGCTGCTAGCGGGCCCCTTTTGCTGCTGTGCGCTGCTGCTGCTAGCTGCTGCGGGGGCTAGCTGCTGCTGCTGCTGCTGCGGCTGCTGCTAGCTGCTGCTGCTGCTGCTACCCTGGCTGCAGTTTTCCCCTGCTGCTATCTGTTTGCTGCTGCGGGTTAGTGCTGCTGCTGGTACCCTGCTGCTCCCTGCTAGCTGCTGCTGCTGCTGCTGCAAGCTGCTGTGCTGTTTTTTTTCCCTTTTAAAAATTTTTCTGCCGTGCCTGCCCCTCCCCCTATATGTACGGGGGCTACTCATTCTCGGTGTCAGTTTGCCCTGTAAATTTGGTGTAAGTGAACCAAAACTTTCATCAAAAAGTTTTTCCCCTTTGTTGTGTGGGGTTGTGTGTGGTTTTGGGGTTTTGTATGTGCGGGGTCCCGCGTGCCCCGGCGCGTGCGTGCGTGCTTGTGTGTGCGCGCGCGCGCGTTTGTTTTTGTTGGAAGACTTTAAAATCAAAACTTTATGAAAAATTGTAAGTTCGTTTATTCTTTCAAAAAGGGTGAGGGTGGGCTGTATTACCGTTTTTTTTTTTATGCCCATAGCTTTTTAATTTATGATTTTTGAAAGGTTAATTGCAGGGAATAGGTTAACATAAAAATTTCCCCATCTTTACGCTTAAAGCTTTGTATTTGTTTCTTGTGTTCCAGTCTCTTGGAAGTTGAAAAATGAAGGAAGGTTGCGCTAAACAGGGTGAATTGTGTTTCTCTTTTTTTGGCATGTGTTGGATGCTTTTAAACGGTTCTTTAACCCAGTGGAAACCTGGATAATAACCACATAATTGGCTATACATGCCCTTTATTTTTAGAAATGATCCACTTTTTAGAAAGTTACTTTACTGACGCTGCTCTCACTCTCAAGACCAGGCAGATGTAAAGTGATATTTGTTTTTTTGCCATTGGTAATTAGAACTGTGTATATCATTTTCACTTTTATTAATGTTTGTAGAAATACCGATAATATGTTATGTAAGAAGATACATGTGCAACGTTTCGAGAGCGAAACGTTGCCACAATAAAATGTCACATAATTTGCACATGTATCCTTTTACCTAACATTTTTACTTGTATTTGCAGCGTGTCAGGTGTGTGTGCACGAGAACTCCTGCAAGGACCAGATCTCAGACTGTTCCAAGCTGAAGAACCCCAAGGTAAGACATATAAGGAAAGCCTCTTCCCTTTCTCCTTTTCTTGTTCTGGCACTGCTGGAACCCTTCCAGGGAGGTGCCTTTATGCTGGTGAAGAGCTTTGGGTCAAATCTGATTGTTTCCTGTTCCCCAACCCTAGGGGATTAACCTTTCATCTTGAATTTAATAATCTGCAACTGCTTGGCCTGTTGTGTGTTTGTGTGTGTGGGGGGGAGGAGGGGAGGGATTAAAGGGGTTCTCCCCGGAGTTGCTTATGTTGTGTTGTGCAATGTACAGGACTATTTTGTACTGTACATGTACTTGACGGTGCTGTGTTGTGCATATACAAGACGGTGTTGTGCTGCGCATGTACAGGACAGTGTTGGGTTGTACATGTTCAGGACGGTATTGTGTTGTACATGTACAGGACGGTATTGTGTTTTACGTGTACAGGACGGTGTTGTACTGTTCGTGTACAGGACGGTGTTGTACTGTTCGTGTACAAAACGGTGCTGTGCTGTACATACACAAGACATTACTGTGCTAAATATGTACAGAACGTTGATGTGCAGAACATTGCTGTGCTATACCTGTAGAGGACGATGCAAAAGATGTAAAAAGATAAATGCAGCTCAGTGCATTAGCGAATTATTTTATTATTTTCTAAGAGTGGCTGAAGTGAATGTGAATGTTTGTTGTGGAAAGCACGTTACGTGTTGTGACTCAACATTATCCAGAGGTTGAGTGAACTAACCACTTCATCACCTGCCTTGGTAGACAGCACACTAAAACTTTCTCACAGATTAATCCTTATATATATTCTGGAGCTGCAAAGTAAAACATATCAAACTTAAAAATTACTGTGTTAATGTGTCCTGCATAAAGAAAAAGGCACACTATTACGACTGGAACAATGCACAACCCGCACGCACGAGAAGCCAACGAGGACGCTCAGGTGCGGCTTGCACCATTTACAAAGTCGAAGTCAGATCGAAGCGTTGTTGTAAGCTTCTCTCTCTCCTGTGTGCGGGTTATTTGTGTATTGTGTCCTACATGGTATGTTGATCAGGTTGTGTATGTATGAATGTATGTCCGGTGCTTCCGTACCGCATGAAGCTAAACTACAAATAATAAAGTTTAATGCTATTGTATTCATTGCTTCAGGTTTATTTGACCTCCTTAATATGTATATTATTCTATTATTTTTTTTTCTGCTGATGCACACGTTTCTCCTCACCTTTGTGCAATGTGTATAACTTTGTTATGCATTGTTATGCAATAAATGTCACTGCAGTTTTTTTTGTTGCTTTTTGAGTGATTACGTGTGTTAATATTGTTGTGACGGGGCTCTGGTGTCTGATTCACCTGTCTGTTTGTTCTAGCACATCCAGTTGGCTGCGGGACTCACGACGCTGGTGAGGCTGCCCTCTCTGTTGAACCCTTTCCTCCTCTGTTGAACCCTTTTCCCCTCTGTTGAACCCTTTCCCCCTCTGTTGAACCCTTTTCACTCCTGTGTTGAACCCCTCCCTTGTGTTGAACCCCCTCCCCTGTGTTGAACCCCTCCCCTGTGTTGAACCCCTTCCCTGTGTTGAACCCGTCCCCCTATGCGTTGAACCTGTCCCCCTGTGTGTTGAACCCTCGTGCTGACCCTCACTGTGTTGAACCCCTTTACCCTGTGTATGTTGAACCCCTCCTTGTGTGTGTTGAACCCCTCCCCCTGTGTTGAACCCTCCCCTGTGTTGCACCACTTCAGGTAAGATCGTGTGCACTTGCAAGTCGCGTCGTGTACATTTGCAAGTCTTCTTGTTTTGCAGTTGCAAGAGCAATTCAACTCGTGTATACGTGTATCTCCTCGTGTATTCATGTGTACACATGTATACCTGTCCCGTGTACACACCCCTTTGTGTATACCTGTCGTATGCACGTGTATCCTCTAGCGTGTCTCTCCTGTACACGTGTATGCATCCTCGTGTACACGTGTATGTATCCTCGTGTACACCTGTATGTGTCCTCGTGTACACCTGTATGTGTTCTCGTGTACACCTGTATGTGTTCTCGTGTATACTGTACGTGTCTTCGTGTACACCATTATGTGTCATGCACACCTGTATGTGCCCTCTTGTACACATGTATGTGTCCTCTAGCATTAATATTCAGTATTCTTTTTGGGCATTACCAATTCTCTCTCTCTCTCTCTCTCTCTCTCTCTCTCTCTCATTTCCCTTCCCCTTTTTCTTTTTCTTCTCTCCCCCCCTGTTATTTTTCTCCATTCTTCCTTCATCTATATATTAACCCCCCTCTTCGTGTTTCCCTTCTTCCACTCCCTTTTCCCTTCCCTCCCCTCTTACTGTTGCTTGGTATTTAATTTAACAACCCTTTCGTGGTTTCTACAGTTAGGGTGAGTATCCCTCTAATTTGCTCTACTTGCCTGCCAATTCCGCCCCACTCAGACTTGTGTAACATTTATTCCGGTTTCCCCTCAGAGTGAAGTTAGGGAACAGTTTGGTGTATTTTATGATTTGTGTTGTTCCTGTATATTGTGTTGTAATACTCGTATGTGCGTGTCTGCTCGAATGTGCGTCTGCACACGTATTTCGTGTCCTTAACTAGTTGTACTCGCTTAGTTGTACGTACTTGCAAGGGCCGTCATTGCAGCTTTGTGTGTGTGTGTGTGTGAGTGCAAGTGCAGTTTTGTGCACACACTTGCTCATTTGTGAGAAAGTATTATAAGGATAGAAATAAGTTATCTCTTGAATTGTTTTGTACTTCATCTAGGTTGATGATTAAGACACATGTGTAACAGTTGGGTATCTTTATTGTTGAAACGTTTCGCCTACACAGTAGACTTCTTCAGTCAAATATAGTGGTAGCAGGTGTAATATGGAAATGAAGGTGATGTAATCAATTTATCAACCTTGGAGATAGTATTTGAGGTGGTCAGTCCTCAAGGACTGTTAGGTAAGACACATATGCAACAGTTAGGTATCTTTATTATGAAACGTTTCGCCTACACAGTAGGCTTCTTCAGTCAAGTACAGAAAAGTTGACTGTACTTGACTGAAGAAGCCTACTGTGTAGGCGAAACGTTTCATAATAAAGATACCTAACTGTTGCATATGTGTCTTACCTAACAACCTGTCGGTATTTTATACCTCAAGGACTAGCCACCTTAAATGCTGTTTCTCCAAGGTTTATGGACATTATCGTTTCCTTACTACACCTACTGCCTTATGTTTGACTAAAGAGGCCTGCTGTGTACGCGAAACGTTTCAAGAATAAAGATACCCAACTGTTTGCACGTATCGCAATAATCAACTTGTCGGTATTTTATATTATCTAGTTCATTTTGATTACCATTATTGATGTAAGAATGTGCAGACAGCTTCAGGTAAGCAGAGTGGCGTAGCACGCTAGGTTTAGGTAATGCTTGATGTAAATTATCGACAGTAGTAATGCAAGACTTATGTACAGTGTTAGAATAGTTTTACTGAGGAAACGTTTCGCCACGAGTTGGCTTCTTCAAGAGTTAAGCTTACATTCGTGGCGAAACGTTTCCTCATTAAAATATCCAAACACTGTACGTGTCTTGTTTCACAAGCTAGGTATCCTTCACCTCTCCTATCGCTGAGTACCTGTGTGATGCTGGTAATTATATCGCAGTTGTTATCAGTACTCATAGTTAATTAGCCAGATTAAAATGTTTTCTCTGGCCTGGTGGCTAAAGCTCTCGCTTCACACACGGAGGGCCCGGGTTCGATTCCCGGCGGGTGGAAACATATCGACGCGTTTCCTTACACCTGTTGTCCTGTTCACCTAGCAGCAAATAGGTACCTGGGTAAACCATACCCCCGGCCGGGATTGAACCCGCGGTCATAGAGTCTCAAAACTCCAGCCCGTCGCTAGTGGCTAACGCGACGGGTTCAATCCCGGCCGGGGGTATGGTTTATTTGCAATCGTGTCATTACGATTTCTTGAGTCAGGTACCTGGGTGTTAGTCGACTGGTGTGGGTCGCATCCTGGGAGACAAGATTGAGGACCACAATGGAAATAAGTTAGTCCTCGATGACGCACTGACTTTCTTGGGTTATCCTTGGTGGCTAACCCTCCGGGGTTAAAAATCCAAAGAAATCTCATCTCTGAAACTGAAGTCTCAGAGTCGGGTCCAGCCTAGCCTGTCTTACTCTCACTCACGTTTTCTTTGTTGGTACACTTGACTAGACTAGGCTAGGTTCAGCAAACCGTTATTTAAGCTTCAGTGCTTTTTTTTTTTAAGCTTAAAAATTAGAACTCCTATCCTCTTAGATCAAACCTGATTCCTCCAATACCCTAAGACTATAACATTAACAACTATACACAGCAAGGCACTAGGCGTGTTTCCGTACACTTGTTGTCCCTGTTCAACTAGCAGCAAGTAGGTGCCTGGTTGTTAGCCGACTGGTGTTGGTCACATCCTGGGACGTGGTACATAAGGCTGGGATTTGAAATGAGCTGAGGTAGGATAACAACTCTTAGCCTGTAAAACTGATTTGTGCATAAAAACGGCATGTAACACAAGGATCCCAGTGGAAACAAGTCACTTTATCTCTTTTGTGTTATCCTAAGTAATTTACACATGTTACTAGTATAATTTTTGTATTTATATGTACCTATACCTAAATAAATTTACACTTACCCCTTCAATCCCCGACGTGGCAGGTCATCCAGAAGCCCGGCGGTACCGCTGGTCTGACCAGCACCACCAAGAGTGCCAGTCTCGGGTCATACGCGGTCACAGGCACTGGCGTGACCTCTGGAGCCTCGTCCAAGTCACAGCAAGCAGTGGTGGCCAGGTCAAGATCGTCAGCGGCACACTCCTCCTCCCCAACACGACCCACCAGCGTCGCCTCTCCAAGGTACGACAAAACCACCCACACTTGCCCTTTGTTGCTCTTAGTTTAAAATGTGGAAGCTTTAGAATAGTAAGAGAAATTATGATTATTATTATTATTAAATTATTGTTTTCATTCCTCCTGGGATTCCCACATAAACTGGAAAGTCAGGGATTAGGGACCATTTATTATTATTTTGCCCTTGTTTTCCTTCTGGCTTTGACACAAAAATGGATACTACGTATATAAGTAGGTAAGATGATAACCTCTTCGTACCATTTATTCTTCATTTTAGTAATTAAACAGCCGAGAGTGAATGGGAGGGGGGGGGGTTATAGGAGGTCACCAGCATCTCCATTGTTTTAACTTCTCGCTGTGGATAGAGACCCCTTGATGATTGTGAAAGGTTATTTCAGCCTAAGGCTTGGAGCTACCTTTCAGTGTAATAATAATAATAATAATAATAATAATAATAATATAGACATAGGGACCTTAGGATAAGAATTGTAGGTCAGGTATTCATAAAGTTTAGGATCAGATGTCAGTCTGCCATAACTGGAATGCTACAATACGAGTTGGTCAGACATTTTGGAGTAGGAGACAAAGTGGTTACAATTCTGGGGACAACACCCCAGGTCTTTTTAAATTTCGGAAAAGGAAATCTAGTTTTCATAAGTGTGGTGTTAACGCATCATCTGCCCTCACATTCATAAACCTGAATGGAACACCATAATGTTTCGTATAGGAGATAAAAATCGTTCATCAGTTTCGAGGAAGATGTACTTAACTGGTGTATAATTATCGTTTAGAGGAGAGTCCACAATCAGGAACACAGGATGTCACTTTTACTCTACTTACGAAATCGTAATGACACGATTGCGGGTTCTATCCCCGCCCGTTGTATGGTTTGCTTTATCACTTTTACAAAAATTTAAGCATTAAATCATCGGTGACTCGTACAATAAAGCTTTTTATTTGTTAATAATTTTCAGGTATGTTCTGTAAGTCGCAAGAAGTTTTTTTTTTATTGGGACTGTTCATTTGAAGTTTTTAATATAGTTTGAATTATATTAATTTTAAATCACTTTAAAAGGTTTATTCAAGCTGGGTCATTTTATTTTTTTTTTGTACGAGATAAATGTACTTAATTGTTTCAAAGGTAATCACTTTAGACCTTTTTTTTTTAAGATAGTCATCTTAGGTCACTAAATGGATGAAAGGTATGTTGCACACGCACTCAGTGTTGCATGTCTGCATCGTTCACTGCAACAAATCTCACCATGTGAAGGTCTTACATACAAAACATACCAGTCAAGGTGTTTTCGTGTTTAGTTTCCAACCTGAAAGTGATAAAAGAACAGCATCTGACGGTGCCCCTCCATGTTTAACACTCTCTAACTTCCCTACACGGCAAATCTTGTACACGTTTCCTGTTTTCTTTATTAATCATACTGTTAAAATAATGCAATTTTCTTTCCCGAATTTTTTTTTTTACATTTCGTTTGTTTCAGGTTCATGTAACAGTGTGTCACATGACTCAGCTTCATGTGTACCTACGTCCTCACTGCACTCCTCATATTGAAATATAATCATAACCTTTGTATATGCAGGATAATTATAATATATATATATATATATATATATATATATATATATATATATATATATATATATATATATATATATATATATATATATATATTACTAATATAAATATAAACCTCCATTGTGTGCTTTCTAATTGAGTTGTCCCGAGTTGTATTGTTTTGTTGGTGGTGTTGCAGTGTTGTGTTTTCGTTTGGGGTAATCCCCCCCCTCTCCCCTTTCCCCCTCCCTCTCGTGGAGATTTGTGTTGATGCCTCACTGTGTTTATTGTCTTCCTTCTTTGGATTTTGTGTCGAATATTAATTAGTTGTTCCCTAGTTTTTATTGTTTTTATATTTTCAATTTAATTTTGTTGCATCTTGCTATTATAAATAATGTTGTGGGATGTTGTTGGAGGTGGACGAAGCGAGCACAGTAGTGGATGGTGAGTGATGAATATACATACACACTTGCTTTACTTGCTGGCTACCGCACCTGTTGGCCTATTCTAAGCCCTCCCTCCCAGTTTTTGCTTCTATCCCCCTCCCCCTCTCCTCTCACATGCGCATACAGATGTACTGTACATACATACACGTACATAAAACACACAAATACATGATAGAGAAGTATGCAAAGAGCTTAGTAAAAGATTAAAAGAAGTATTTATAGAAGAAAGTGGAGAGTTACCAGGAGGCACTGTAGTCTGGCCCTAAAAAATCAGCAGCACAGTAACGGAAACTACTATGTGAGTTTGATGTAACAAAATCATTGGGACTAGATAGCATATCCATTGGTGCCGAGAGGAGGAGACGAGTCTGTGTGTGACCAAGTAGCAACGGTATACAACCAATATCCAATCAGAACAAGTGCAAGAAAATTTGAAAAAGACATTGTCCCCATATGTTAAAAGGGGGGATAGACAAGGGGCACTGAACTGTAGGCTATTATCTCTAATATGTAATATGTCAAAAGTACTGGAAAAATATGAAAACGATATTGGAACACTTAGAAAGGAGATATTTGTTTACAGAAAAACAGCAAAGATCTAAGGATGGAACTTTCTTACAAATTTTCTGGGGTTCTATGAGAGTCACAGAGATAAAACGAAAAATTTAGAGCTGGATGGAATTCATCTTGGTGTATAATAAAGCGTTTAATTAGTACCACATTAGAGATTAGTTCAGAAATTATAAGAACATGCATAGTTAAGAGGCAGAGTGATCCAGTATATTAGGGAGTGATTGAGTGATAAAAGATAATAGCAAAGGATAAAACACCAGAATGGGAAAGAGTAATGAGTGGGGTTCCGTAAGGATCAGTACTAGGGGCTCTATTGCTCCTAATGTACCTAAACGACCTACCAGTGGGGACTGGGTCCTAAGTGTCACTGTTTGTAGATAATATAAAACTAACGAAAGAATAAGAACAGAAGATGATAAACTTTATGGAGAAGTCAGTAGACTACATATATGATTGGAAGTGAAGAGAGACAGGACGCGGAGTAACTTAAGCAAACAAAAAACTCCTAATATCTCCAGACATGAGCATAAACCATATAACGTCAGCAGCATATGCAAGATTAGCAAACTTTAAAGCAGCATTCAGAAACTTGAACAAAGAATTCTCCAGAACCTTATATACTGCATATATTAGGCCAGTAATTGAGCATAGAGCCCACACCTGGCAGGCACATGTAGAAACTCGGAAAGGTCCAAAGGTTTTTAATCAGGGTAGTACCAAAACTGAGAGATGTGCCCTCTGAGGAGAGATTGAAGGAACCGATCTTGGCGGAGATGTAATTATGACATACAAAATTTTAAGAGGAATTGATGAGACAGAGGGATGTAAAGAAGCATTTCTTTAGTCTCAAGGTAATTGAAAAGTGGAATAACTCGGATGAGGCAGTTGTGGAGGCAAACACAAAGTGCATCTTCTTGAGTGAAAATGATGAAGTTCAAGGGGTCAGTAGCCAGTGATGCTGATCAAAGTAGTTTAGGAGACGGAGCCAGAAGATGAGCTAAGCATCAACCCCCGGAAACATAACTCACTGAATACAATTCTTAGTAACACACACACACACACACACACACACACACACACACACACACACACACACACACACACACACACACACACACACACACACACACACACACACACACACGCACGCACGCACACGTACTCACGCACGCACGCGTTGTTTTACTGGCTTAACGTTTCCCAATAAATATAATTACGCTGGTGAGGGGGTAGGAATAGGTGGACAAGTATCGTCTGATGCTTAATTTGTGCGTTTTATACTTGCCTTGTATAATTCACTTTCTCTGCAATTTTTAATTTTCATTTTTGGCAACAGTTAGAAATCTTACTTGGCAGCTGCTTTGGTCGTTTTGTTGTTGAATGATGTAAAGATCATTGAAGAAGTGTGGTGGGAGGCAGTGAGAGTCTGCCGTGGGGGAGGTGGATGGTGATAGAGTAGTGATACAGTGAACAAAAGATTTAGTGCTGTAGGGATGGTGGCTCCTGGAGGAGTACTTGTCACTTCAGAGGACAGAGCTCTAAGTATTGACGAAGGAGGGAGGGAGGGAAGGAAGGGAGAGTGACTACTGGTGCTAAAACAAATATTGTAAATGATGGAAAAAAGAAACACGAATCCAGTACATCGCGATCCTTTATTGACAGTATTTTGCTCACACAGTGGGCTTTATCAGGTCATAAACAGATCTACTTGGAGAGAGGATGTGCTTGCTTATATATATATATATAATATATATATATATATATATATATATATATATATATATATATATATATATAATATATATATATATATATATATATATATATATATATATATATTTGAGCGTAATGACATGAAGAACCAGGTGAAGTGTGTGGGAAGACTAATGACAGGTTAGGCAAGCGTATATTAGATAAATGGTTCAGAAAACCGACAAGTTAAGAAGGACTTGCCCAGTACGAGCCAGTAGGCCTGCTGCAGTGTTCCTCCATGCTGTGATCTGTAGGATAAGATAGTTGAGCACGAGGTTCAGTTATGTTGCAGAAACCTCCATTGTAAATGAGTTGGATTCTGTAACCATTAGTTGAAGATAAGTTATAGTGGATGGTATGAAAATGTGTGTTTAACTACATCAGGATGGCGCTGGGTAACATATTCTTCCCTGTCTTACCTTGATTTTTACCTTCTGACTGCCACAACATCTGCGCCTGCCTTACCTTAATAAACGAGACACTTTTGCAACATTTGGGTATCTTTATTCTGAAAACGTTTCGCCACACAGTGGCTTCTTCAGTCCAGTGCAGAAAAAGGCGTAATAAGAGGAGTTTGAGGTAATCAGTCCCTCATCCTTGAGTCGATGTGTTTAGTCCATCAATCTTGAAAAAAGTGCAAGATTGATGGACTGAACACATCGACTCCAGGCTGAGGGACTGATTACCTCAAACCCCTCCTCTTATTCCACTTTTTTCTGCACTGGGCTGAAGAAGCCGCTGTGTGGCGAAATGTTTCCAGAATAAAGATACCCAAACGTTGTAAAAGTGTCTCATTTATCAACGAGTGATATAAATCCTGGAGGAAAGAGGACGAAGACCGAATAGTCAGAACTACTGATCCTGAGAGACTAAGGAAATTGACTTGTAGAACCCAGACTCACAAAGAAGACCAGAACCAAAGAGAATAATTAGTGGAAGCAGTAATGGAGAACCTTATTAGCTAACTTATTAAAGACACTACAAGGATATTTGGGGAAGAAGAATCCACAACATTGGGTCTTGTCTTCACATTGAATCATAAAGACTTCGTACATCAGGACTCATGAAATCACTAGCACTGACCACGTAGTACTAAGTTTTGACTACCTCTTCGAGTTGATAATAAAGAGGAGAGCGAAGAGATGTGAGAAAAACAAACTGTCGGTGTGGTAATTATGCTGCGATGCGAGAATTCTTGAATGGGATACAGTGCGAACTGTACGAAAACAGTTGACACTATTCCACCAAACTAAACTACGGATCAGAACAGGTGGAAGTAAAAGGAAAGGTGCACCAGTGGAAATGGTGTTAAAATGGGCAGGAACGCAAGGTCACAGGGAAACCGGAGAAGGATTATATGTAGACTGAGAGGAGAGAAACTACTAACGTCAATAAAAATAAAAAGTTTTAGAGTGAACACACTAAATATGGCTCCAAAGGAACACAAATTCGGCAGCTTATTCAACACCATCGAATTTTAAGAAGAAAAAAATCAGGAACCTCAATGAAAAATTCTTTTTTGGACGGTATGTAGCGCATGTCAGGCCCAGCTTAGAATATAGCACCACGTGGAGCCCCAACCTGATCACATTGTTAGCTTGAAAATATCAGTAAGTTTGCAGCCAGACTAGTCTCAGAGCCGAGGGATCAACCAGACTAGTCTCAGAGCCGAGGGGTCAACCAGACTAGTCTCAGAGCCGAGGGGTCAACCAGACTAGTCTCAGAGCCGAGGGGTCAACCAGACTAGTCTCAGAGCCGAGGGGTGTACACTATATAACTAAACATACTAAGCCTGGTTACTCTGGGAGAGATAGAATGACTATCGGAGACATAATTATGGTATAAAAGTTACTTAAGGGAATTGATAGGAAGATATGGAGGGACAAAAATACGTTGACCAGGAATACGGCGGGATAGATAAAAGCTAAAATTGCTGCCTCAGGGTACTCTAGTATTTTGTTTTTAACCTCTGGGCACTAGTGAAGAGGACTACTGAACCGGGTGTATGGTATGGCTAGCAAAAATATACTGGATAGTAGTTGACAGGGCGTCATCTGCAGGACAATCACTTCACTACCTTAAGTACCAGTTAACCTCTTGAGCACCACCACCTGCTGCTCTCTCTTGTTCACGATGTAAGACTTTCGAATTTATTAAATTGACATTAAATTTGCTCCGTTTGGTAAATATTTTTTTTATCGTAACGTTGTATTACAGCATTGAAAAATGTCCTGATTGGCTTCTTCACTTCGCTTCATTCCTCAAAAAAGCCTTGAATGGTAGTTTCATAACTAATAATTTCTTTAGCTTGACAGCGTCTCCTGTGTAGTGATTCGTCGAAAGTTATGCAAGAGTTTCAGCTTTTTACTGAAAAGAAGCGTGTGGAAAGCGTAACATGTTAATTATTGTTAAATAACACAACTTTTAAAAAATGCTTGCCAGGCTTCACCTAGGTCTTGACGAGCTAAGATGTGGCTGTGAAAAAACAATCGGGTAAATTCCTGTCTAACTCGGGTATTTGCCTTTCGACGGCTCGCTACACAAATCACACATGCATTTTTTCCCTGAAGTGATGAGTAATAATTTGATTAACCTCCTTTAATTTATAAATTAATATATTTTTTTCGAAGTCAGATATTGGGAGCTTGAGTTTAGCATGTTTGAGTGCAGAAGCCGACCCCACCTCCTGCTGCTGCTTCTGCTGCTGCTGTTGCTGCTGCTTCCCAACCTCCCCCCCCCCCTTCCCCAACACACATACACAAATCCCCTTCAGTTTTCTGCTGCTGCTTCTGCCTTGCTGCTCACTTTTTCATTTGTGATCATGAGTATTGGTGATTGTCATATTACACAGCGACTCTGGTTTAGTGGAGTAGTAGTGTTGGTCAGAACATTCGTATATACTAGTCACCGGCGGCAAGTCTTGGGACATCACAAACAAGTTTATTTTGGAACCCGGTGTTCCCTTTGCTTTTATTTTAATTTATGTTTATAATAATTTCCATACAACTAATTTGAAATATTCACCTCTTTAAATAAAGGTTTGTGCATGTAATGACTACATTTTCTAAAGAATAATTATTTGTCCATGGATAGGATTTATTGCTAAGATAGTGAGTGACAACGAGAGCTTTTTACAGTATCAGTTTATGTAAGGGTTGTGCTGCCAGCTTACTTCTGAACTATACGTCTGTCACTACTGCTTCGCTGATCTTTTTCAGCACCTTGAATCCTAAAAGATGATATTGCCTTGTAAGATAACCATTTTATCAATGTATTGCTTGTGTATGAAATGTAGCAGACTAAGTATTGTAGGTACAGAAAAATAAGAAAAAACAATGTCCTGGCTAGTTTTTATAATAACGAATTGTAGTTGAGCGTAGTTTTGGTGGTCTGTGTTAGTGAGGAGCTTCATGTATTAATGGGACATGGAGCAAAGATGGGAAGTCACAACCTAGGGCGTATGTGTGGTGTGGAAAGGTGGGTAGCAAGACTCCTGGTGGGGGTCCTGGCCAAACGGCCTGCTAACCCCCCCGGCCCGCCCCAACAGTGGCTGCGTGTCATGGCCCGCACGGCCCGCTAATCCACCGGCCCGCCCCAACAGTGGCTGCGTGTCCAGCCCCGTCCGTAGACTGTCCGGCTTCTCCCAGTGGAAGCGAGTGGCTACCAAGTTGGGAGTCAAGTAAGTGAGCGGCGCTGCACCCTCCCGTCCGTCAATCCGACCGCACGCACGCCCATACCTGTCCTTGCCCCTGTAGGTCCTCCTCAGTGATAGTTGCCTGCCTTCCTTCCGTGTAGAAATCTAGTGAGCTACAACCACGCCAGTGAAGGTGTGCACGATGTGTAGCCATCAACAGGTGTGGTGCCCTGCCTAAACCACCTGATCACCACATGCCTACTTCAATTCTTCGCTCTCGATACAAAATTACGCAGTAAATGAGGCATTGTCTGGAAGAAGGACATCTCTGAACTTGCTAAAAAAATCTAGATATAAAATATAAATTTATATTGTTGTATTTATTGGTTAAAAAATATATTTTTTTACATAGTATTAAGCACTTATTTTTAAAATCATGTTGACGTCGCTCTTATTCCATGCTAAGCCAAATACTGACTTCCTAAGTTCATTATTTTGCAAATGTTATTCGATTTTTATCCTTTAAATGAATTATACGGGGAAACATTTTAATACAAAGAGAAAAGATGTACCAAAGAAATGTTGCAGTAATGTTAAAAACAATCCAAACAAAATATCACTTTATAGAATGTTAAATTTACTAATGGTTCACACACACACACACACACACACACACACACACACACACACACACACACACACACACACACACACACACACCATACTGGAGTATGCAGCACCAGTTTGGAACCCGCACCGGGTCAAGCACATAAAGAAATTAGAGAAAGTGCAAAGGTTTGCGACAAGATTAGTTCCAGAGGTAAGGGGATTGTCCTACGAAGAAAGGGTAAGGGAAATCGGCCTGACGACACTGGAGGACAGGAGGGTTAGGGGAGACATGATAACGAGATACAGAATACTGCGAGGAATAGATAAGGTAGACAGAGACAGGATATTCCAGAGATGGGACACAGAAACAAGGGGTCACAATTGGAAGATGAAGTCTCAGATGAGTCAAAGGGATGTTAGGAAGTATTTCTGCATTCATAGAGTAGTTAGGAAGTGGAATAATCTGTCCAGTGATGTAGTGGAGGCAGGAACCATACATAGCTTTAAGACGAGGTATGATAAAGCTCATGGAGCAGGAAGAGAGAAGACCTAGTAGCAGTCAGTGAAGAGGCGGGGCCAGGAGCTGAGTATCGACCCCTGCAGCCACAATTAGGTGAGTACACACACACACACATACACGGGGCCAGGAGCTCGGACTCGACCCCTGCAACCTCAACTAGGTGAGTACACACACACACACACACACACACACACACACACACACACACACACACACACACACACACACACACAACACGCGCGCGCGCACACACCACACACGACACACACATCACATTACACACTACACACACACATCTACACACACTACACCGCATATTCGTGCGATAGGTAAAACTGTCATTACATTACTCATTTAAATAGCCTTTCTAAAATTTTCTTTAGTTTAATTTTTTTTCATTTATGTTAATGTAAAAATTAATACTTCTGTACGAAAAGAAGCTTAGAAAACTTACCTAACCTTATTATAACAAGCACAATTTAATTTAGCCTAATCCAACTAAATATGTTTTAGATAAGTTTATAAAAATTTAATAATAACCAAACACAATGAAATAGATTTTTTCGTTATGTTCGAAATGATTTTTTGCGAAATTATTGCATACACAAATTTTTGCTTGCCTTGTTCGGCAAGAAGAGCGTTGCTATTTAAGCCGAAATCACAAGTTTTATCTATTCCACCCCACACACACACACACACACATTATATATATATATATATATATATTATATATATATATATATATATATATATATATATATATATATAATATATATATATATATATATATATATATATATAATATATTGTATGTGTGTGTGTGAAAAGTACATAATTTATAGTTTTTCCAATAATACTTTTGCGAAAATATGAAATTACAATCATGTATTTTGCCTAATTCTACCATTGCCTTACTATGGTGATGGTAGATGCATGAGTGAGGTGGAGCTACGGCAGTGGTGGTGATGGTGGTGGTGTGTGCCCATGGCCTCCCCAAACATCCTGCTGCAAGTGTAATTCACCTGAGGGACAACGCTGTCTAAAGGACTCGTTGCCTGAAAGAGCATTTACTTAAGGCTGTATTTTCTGGCAAGCATGCTTCTTCGTGGATAGTTACTCTGGAAGGACTGTTTCTCAGTGGAGGCACTTCCTAAAGGATTATTGCTTGATGGTGGTGCTTCGGGAGAATGTTCTTCTGTGTAAAATAGCCAAGCATGCGGAGCTAATGCTCTTGTGTTGCCCGCGTTGTTTACTTTCTTGTTTTCACATTCTTGTTTTGTTTACTGCGTGTTCCCCACATTGTTTACTTGCGTTACCTCATTCTGTTGTGTTTCTGCGTTCTCTTTATCTTGTCTTCCTGCGTTCAGGTTGACCTTGTTTACCTTACTGTTTTCCCATTTTGTTTACCTTATCTTCCCGAGTTTACCTTGTGTTCCCACGTTGACTACCTGGTATTGCTTCCATTTTGATTGCCTTGCATTTCAGCGTGCCTTTCTGTTTATCTTGTGTTGCCTGCATTCTCTTGTTAACCATTTGCTGGCCTCATTCTCAATTTTGTGTATTGTCCTTGTTCTTATGCTTACCTCGTGTTATTCTCATTCTCATATTTACCTTGTGTTGTCCTCGTTCATATATTCACTTGGTATTGTCCTTGTTTTCATAATTACTTTGTGTTGTCCTCGTTGTTTATGTTGTGCTTCCAGAGTTATGTTTACTCTTAACCTTCTCGTGTTATCCTTGCCCTTCTTGTATATTCTTGCGTTGCTTGTGTTCTAGTGTTTTCTTTCGTTGCTTGTGTTCTCGTATTTTCTTGCGTTGCTTGTGTTCTTGTGTTTGCGTTGCTCATATTTCTTGTTCTTCTATTTTGTGTTGCCTGCGTTCTCGTACTCACTGTCTTGTACTGTCCATGTTCTCTTGTTTGTCTGGTGTTTCCTACGATATGTTTACTTTCTTGTATTGTCCATTTTCTCATATTTACCTCCTTGTGTTGTCAATTTTGTCTGCCTTCGTAATACCAGCTTTCTCTTGTAAATTTATCTTGCGTTGCCTGCGTTCTTGGTTACCTTGTTTTGCGTATATTTCACATTTATCTTTTTTATATTTATCGCTTTGTTTACATTCTTATATTGAATTTTGACCTTATATTTATGTCGTTGTGTTTTCCGCGTCCATATATTCAAGTATCATGTGTGACCTCGTTTACCTTAATTTGCCGCGTTCTCACATTTACCTTATATTTCCCGTTTTGTTTACCTATACTGCATGCTCCTGTTTACCTTCTTGTGCTGCCTGTATTCTCATGTTTACTTGTTGATCAATGTTGTCTCTTGGTATTCCACGTTTTTATTCTTGATGTTATTTGACCTTTTTGTCGTTAGTCATTCTTTTAATGAATCTGTGAAAAATATGTGTAATTTAATATACTTTAAAATGTTTGTAATGAACCATGTCTTGTTTCTTGTTAATATTTTAACACGTCTCTCTTGTTTATACCGTATGTTTTACCCTGCTATAATTTACTTCCTGAATGATGCCTTTCTTCTATAAGCTTTCTTTTTATATTTAATTTTTTTTTCATTCTGGAGGTATTAATTCTTAAAATTACATTTTAATTTGTTGTGCTAATTATAAATATCTTACAGCATGTATCAAATGGAAAGTTCTCTGCCTTCTATTCCCTTTTGTACATAATGTTCGTTATGCTATTTTTTCTGAAAAAAACTCTTAATTGTTGCTGTTTCCTATGTGACTAGTTACCAGAATTAAAGAGTAACTTTACCATGTTTCTTCTAAAAAGTCTAATTTCTTCTGATGTAGTCTAGCTGGAGTGACTTAGATATGGTTCCTTGCTCTTTTTCTTGTACAGAGCCATTTTTTTTTATTTAATCTGCCCATAGGGGTTATTACGTAAATTACGTTGAATCGTGACTAGTGTTTACTTCCATCATATGTCTTATGGTCATAGATACGCGCACTAACACAGATGAGGATGTAAGGTCATAAACTGTGTTGGTAATATCCAGTGTGACTTTGTAAATGGTACAAGTTGGACCGAAACGTCGTCGTAAGCTTCTCTCTTTTATGTGCGGGTTATTTGTGTATAATATCCAGGAGTATCATGAATAACAATACAAGCTAGAAGACTTTCAAGTTGCACTCTCTGGGAGAGAGAGTCCAGAGCTTGAGACGATAACTACGCCACCTAGATACGAGCTAGTGGGTTTGTTCACCTTAGAAGTACCAGCGACTCGTTAGAGATATTGACCAGAGACTTGCTAAAATAATGTTCAGAGAGACATGAAGATAATGGTCAGTGTCACATTTTGGAATCATAGAGGTATAGGTGGTGATGTATTAAGAGATTTCTGTGGGACAGCTGACTCTGAGACCAAGCAATTTGTGAAGATCTCAGGCTTCTGAAAATGACTATCCTTAACCTAGAAAAAGAGATTGGGATGAACTTGGTCCGAAAGACAGCCTGGGGTAAGTAAGCTGTTAACTCTTAAATTTTTTTCCGGAATAGTATCAACCAGAAACCCGGGAGTAAATCCACTGTTGACAGTACTTTATCCACATTTGGTAACATCACTAAGAGATGGAAATCAGTCATAAATTATCTTCTCTTTCAGCTTGTGAAAGCCAGTAACAAAGTGTCAAGTGCTATGCTCGGGTGTATAAATGATTGCCACATTTTTAGATTGCCATTTTAGTGACTTCAAATCTTGCGACTGACGAGTTGTTCCACAGTTACTTGCTAAAATTCTGTAAATCTGTAAGTAGTTCTATGATTATCTCATACCTCACTCTAGCGAGTTATAATGACTAATGAGAGGAATATTTCCCATGTTCTCACCTGGCAAATTAAGTTGTCATGAGAACTTATAGTTAAGATAGCTGCTATATACAGTATTTCAGC